CAGGGTCATCGCCTCTGATCTTATAACGCAATGCAGTGCATACCGGGCATTCATTCAAATTCTTGTATTCACCGCGGTAGAGGATGCAGTCGTTGATGCATGCATGTATCTTCAGAACCTCTAAACCTAGAGGGCAGACAACCTTCTTTGCTTCGTACGTACTGGCGGGCAACTCGTTATCCTTTGGAAACATATTCTTCAACATTTTCAGCAAGTTTTCAAATGCCGAGTCAGCTACACCTGCCTCTGCCTTCCATTTCAGCAAATCCAGTGTGCAGCCCAGCTTTTTCAGACCATCATCGCATCTGGGGTACAGCGCCTTTCTGTGATCCTCTAACATGCGATCCAAATTCTCCCTCTCCTTTTCAGTTTCGCAGCGTCTCCGTGCATCAGCAATGGTCCGACCAAGATCATCAACGGGATCATCACGTGCCTCTTCTTCACCTTCCCCTTCACCTTCAGCATCCTCCATGAAAGTATCACCGAAATGAGCAAGATAGCTTTCATCGATGAAATCATCCCCTTCTTCATCTTCTTCCATTATAACCCCTCTTTCTCCATGCTTGGTCCAACAATTATAGCTTGGCATGAAACCGTGCCGAAGCAGATGCATGTGAACATCTCTTGAGGAAGAGTAACCTTTCTGATTCTTACAGATAACACATGGACAGATAACAAAACCCCCCTGCTTGTTCGCATTAGCCACTACGAGGAAATCTTTCAAACCCGTAGTGAACTCGCCGGAGAGTCGGTTACCGTACATCCATTGCCGATTCATCTGCATTATTATAATATAAAATATATAATTAACCATCATGCATTTGTTAAACTAACTAGCTGCAAACAATATAAATTAAACAATGAACTGCACACATGCATATTTTATCAATGACACATCAAAGGTTCATCAAGTTGCTAACCGCGATCGAGGAGTGTGGCTCCAACACTTCATGTCATGTTTGTTTCATACTCTTGGGGCATTTCATCAAACACCTTATGTGCATAAGAGGAACCAAAAGCAAACCTAGCTACACCCACTTGTGAAGAGAATGGCTCCAAATGGCTAAGTGTTGGCTGCTGGATGGGTATATATAGGGGAGGGGCTTTAGTTGCGGTTGGCCTGGCAAACCGTGACTAAAGGTGCCCGAAGGCCTTTAGTCGCGGTTGTCCTGGCCAACCGCGACTAAAGACCCTCACGTGCGCCAGCTAGCCACCGAGCGCCCTGGGCCCAGGCCTTTGGTCGCGGTTCACCTCCAGAACCGCGACTAAAGGTCCCATTAGTCGCGGTTCCTACAACTTCGCGACTTATGGGGCTGGACGGAAGCCTGTTTTTCCACCAGTGTTCATAAATCCCATGACCTCCCTACCCTGCCACTTCGCTGTATTTACGAAAAAAATCCCCTCCCATATAAAGATTATACATTTTTCTACCTAGTGGCAGTTTAAACAATTTCCTTTTTGCACTATTTTTTTTTTAATTTTTTGTTTCATTTCTTCTTCTTCCTCTTATTTTGTAATTCACAAAATATTTACAATTTAAAAAAACTTCATTTTTATATTTATAATTTCAAAAATTGTTCTGGTTTTTATTTTGTTCTCAAAATTTATAATATGTTGTCTATTAATAAAAATTCATGTTTCCAGATTTGTTCGGAAATTTTAAAAAATATTACTGTTTGAAAAAATTGTTCCGAAATTCAAAATTGTATTTTCACAAACATGTTCCTATTTCAAAATTTCTGAAATTTTTTAAAAAATGTTTAACCCAAATTAATATTTTTGTGATAAGAAAATCAGTCAAGTTGTGTTTGGCATTCCATAAATACGAATTCAAATGTAATATAGCACATTTTTTGACTGGATTGTATTCTTGTACCCCACAAAATTCAGCTCGATTGTTTGTAAAATAAAATAATGTTCTAAAAAACAAATTCATCTCAATTTATACCGAATAAATAGTACCCTTGAGTAACGGGCTTTGCAGCTCGTGGACTGAAGCCCAATAACGAACGCGTTCAGTCGTTAACCCTAGCTCTAAGCTCTAGGCGTTCCTAAAAAGAGAAGGTAAGCTCTCTCTTTCCTGCAGAAGCGGCTTCGGCGACTCCGGCGGCCGCCGGTGCAAGCCCAGGTTCGTTCGCCTCCCACCCCATCGATCCAACTCCCAACTCCCAAGCTTAGTTTTGCCCCAAGTTTTGCACATCAATTGGGAAGAGTTTTGCAGAGTGGAACGTGAGTGGTGACTGAGTACGTAGACTGATTTTCTACAGGTCCGCCATCGCCATGTCGTCCTTCACGGGCGTGTCTGTCGCCGACGGCAACAACCAGTCCATCTGCGAGACGTCGGCCGTGGACGCCAGCGGGGACAGCGGGTACCACCTGTTCATGGTCAAGGCCTACTCGCGCATCAAAGACCTCCTGTCCATGGGCGAGTGCGTCGCCTCTGGTTCTTTCACAATAGGAGGCCATGATTGGTTAATCGAGTACTACCCTTACGGCGACAACCCGCACTGCGCCGGCTTCATTTCGCTCTTTCTAACCCTTCTCGACACCGATGTCGATGTCGACGGAGATGTTGAAAAGGCCGTGGAGGCAAAGTTCAGTTTTAGTCTCATCGACCAGGTTGAGAAGCAGATGCAATGTACGTCCGTGGAACCAGTGAGACTCGCAGCTTCTCCGGCAGCGCGCCAACCTGGGGCAATGGCAGGTTTGTGAGAACAGATGCCCTTGAACGGTCAGCGGATCTCAGGTCTGATTGTTTCACCATCCGGTGTGACGTCGTGGTTTGTAACACCAAGGATGATGATCCGGTGGCACCGAGGCTCTCCCGTCGGAGATACACCAAGATTTTAGCGGTCTCCTTCAGAATAAGGTGGGTGCCGATGTGACGTTTCAGGTCGGCAGCGAAACCTTCGCCGCACACCGGTGTGTGCTCGCTGCCCGATCCACGGTGTTCATGGCACAGCTCTTTGGCCCCATGAAGGAGGGCACTGCTTCATCCAGCAGTGTCATACATATCAAAGACATGGAAGCAAAGGTGTTCAAGGCTTTGCTTAGCTTCGTCTACACAGACTCATTCCCTGAGATGTACGAGGAAATCATGGAGGAGAATGCAATGTCAGCAGCAGCCGAGGAACAAGGACAAGAAGTGGAAGAGGTGGAGGATGAAACGGGGCTGCAATGGCTGCTAGATTTGCTTGTAGCAGCAGACCGATACGATCTCCAGCGCCTCAAGTTCATCTGTGAAAAGCAGCTGTCTCAGCGGATAGGTATGAGCTCGGTGGCATCAGTTCTTGCTCTAGCCGAGCAGCACCACTGCCATGGATTGAAGGCGGCGTGCTTGAAGTTTATCCAAGCCCAATCTCCCTCGCGTTTGCAGACAGTAATGGCGACTGATGGTTGGGATCATGTATATACGACATATCCCTCTCTTGTGAATGGGTTCATTGCCAAGCTTATTGCTTCGACCCAGAAGTAACACTTACTCTGCATATATATGGTAACCATGTTCCTTAGACCTCAAGTGAGAGTATTCTGCATATGTGGTATTTCTTGCTTTTGTCTCGTCGTGTTAAATTTGCTTATATACTGAATTTGAAGAACCCAACATATGGGGAAGCTTTCTCTTCAATGGAATTGATGGTTTATAAATTACAGTGTAAGCATCAACATTTATCTGCACCTTAGTAGTGTGCAAGTTTCCCAGCTAGTCTTGTTATCCTCGAATATTTCTCTGAGCATGCGGTTATGTTTTGACTTTTACTTGTCATATAAAACCCTTTTCTGATGGTTGTAAGGAAGAACAAATTAAATGTACTAGATGTTTTTGCATTGGAAAGGCATTTTATGAACCTGGGTTTAGGGGAAAGAACTTAGAAGTTATGACATAGGTCACCAAGATTTTCGGTTACCGTGACAGCGATAGTGTAAAATCTTGGTCCAGTACCTACGAACTTTCCCCTGGGTGATTGCTGTTCTCCGTGGATGGTCTCCCTCATGGGAGAGCTTGAATATTTTTCGAAGTCCAGTGTCGTAGCTGTGCCCTATTCCCAAAGACATGACTTCCATTCTGGTGTATTTTGACTTTCATTCTGGTGTACTTTGAAGCTCTAGCGATGATCCCAAACACTCCTTTTTTTAAGGGGAATTTTCCCAAACACTCAGGATTTTCCCAAACAGGGTGGCCGTGAGGGACGGGCTTTGCAGCTCGTGCACTGTGAGGGTCTAAAGACCAATAATGTGGCGAGCACTTGCTAACCCTAGCTAGCTCCAGGAAGGCCCAGGTCGCACACACCCAACGGGCCGGCGGCATCGGCGCCACAACGAGTGGAGCGGTGGCGGCGACTTCATGCGGCCGCTGGTACAAGTAGCAACTCTGTGCATTGCCGGGTGAGGGAAGCGTGACTGCGACTTGGCCAGGTTTGGTCCCTCAGCTAATCGATCCCAACCCTGAAACTTAGGAATGTGAATGGCGACTAAGTAGGTCGTCGACTTCCCGTGAGCTCGCAGGTCCACCATGTCGTCGTTCGCTGGTGTATCAGTCCTTGACGGCGACAATCGGTGCACTTGCGAAATGTCCGGCATCCACGCTGGCGCAGGCGCAGGCAGCTGGTACCACCTGCTCCTGATTAAGGGCTACTCGGGTAGCAAAAAGGAGTTGGCCACCGGCGAGAGCGTGGGCACCGAAACATTCGTGGTAGGAGGCCAGAATTGGTCCATTGTGTACTACCCCAACGACGAGAACCAGAGTTGGGCCGACTTCATTTCGCTCAGCCTTTCCCGCCTCTACAATGAAGAGGTCAAGGAGGGCGTCGAGGCCAAGTTCAGCTTTAGTCTTGTCGACAAGGTCGAGAAGCAGACGCTGATGTACATTCGTCGAATTAGTCAAACTAATGACTTTCTCCCGGCCTGATCCTTGTTGGGGTTGCGATGAGTTTGTGAGAGGAGATGCCCTTGAATGATCGGCCAGTCTAAAGCATGATTGTTTCACCATCCGGTGTGATATCGTGGTTTGCACGGACAACACCCCAGATGCCACTGACACTGGCGCCAAGGTGCCCCTGCCTGACATACACCGGCATTTTAGCCACCTCCTTCAAAATAAGGTGGGTGCTGATGTGACGTTAGAGGTCGACGGTGAGACGTTCGCCACACACCGGTGTGTGCTCGCTGCTAGGTCTCAAGCGTTCATGGTGCAACTCTTTGGCCCCATGAATGAGGACAACACCACGTCCAACAGAGTCATATAGATCAAAGATATGGAAGCAAAAGTATTTAGAGCGTTGCTTTGCTTCATCTACACTACACAGACTCGTTCCCTATGATGGAGAAGAACTGTGTCAGTATGGTGGAGGATGAAATGCCAGGAGTAGTGGAATAATGACAAGTAGAGGAAGCAGCAGAGGATAAAAATAGCATAGAATAAAATGGCATAAGTTGTGGACCAAACACAAGAATAGGTAGAACATGAGATGCAACTCCCTTGCATTTGCAGACACTAATGGCAACTACTGGCTGGGGGCATGTAGCCAAGATCTACCCCTCTGTTTTGTATGAGCTCATTGCCAAGCTTGCTTCAAACCAGCGGAAATAACACTGTATATAGTACACATGTTCCTTAATCAGACTTTAAGTGACACTCTTTTGCATATATGGTATCCTCTAAAGTGATTGTAGTCTGTGTGTCTTGTTTTTCATTGTCTCTCATGTAGTTTGCTTGTATGCTGTATCAGAGAAATCCAACATATGTGCAAATTGTCTCTTCGCGGAATGGATCCTCTGTAAATTCAGGTTGGGGAGTAATTATTAATCTGCATTATAGCAATGTGCAAGTTTTCCCAAGTATTCATTTTATCCTCGTATATTCTTCTGTGCATTGTGTCGGATATTGTAGCTGTGTGCCTTCCCTGTCACTGAATACCCAATTTGTAGTGGTTACAAAGAAGAACAAAAAGTAGATGCTTATGGAAAAGCGTTTTTGAACCTGGATTTATGGGAAATTTTGGAAGACAGCACAGAGGTCACCAAGTATTACGGTTGCTGTGACAGCCATAGTGTGAAATCTTGGTCCCATGCCTAGGGACCTTTCTGCTGGGTGCTTGCTATTCTCATCGGATGGGACAGAAAGATGGTTTCCATTGTGGCTTATTTGGAAGCACGGATGATGATTGGTTGCTGTCAGTTAGCTATTAGACAACGAGTTGATGACATAACCTGCTTGCTTTGCAATGAGCCTGAAAGTGTTATTTGAATGTGTGCTTTATAGGCATCACTGGTCTGAGTTAGACATGTCTCTGAATTATGTATGATTTACACCATGTTGATGCTTGTTCTATGAGCCATTCATTAGTCCTGATATCACTGTTGCATTAACATGTTTACATGAGCACGGCACAAATCACTCATTGCGCCTGGAGAAGAAAAGAAAAGAGGAGAGGAGAATTACGTCGCTGGATTGGTTGGCCACAATGGAGGCGGGCGGCTAACAAGTTCCCAATCGAAAAATGTAATAGGGATCCTGCCTGATTCAGGTTATGGTCCCTTTTGCTTTGATGCTGGCTGTGATGTAAAACTTTACTTGGAGCTACTCATGCAGTCAATGTATTCCCATTTGATGCCAATTTAGTATTTCAATTGAAATGTGATGCCTCTGTTCAAGGCTACAAAAACTGCCTCCGCATCTACCCATGCTAAGTAACATGGGTAGTATTTCAACAACTGAACCATTATTTCAACTGACATTCATGTTGGTGCAATCATCTTCGTATCTGTGTTGGTAGCAAGCATGAACATGGGCAGCAAATGTCAAGATTGTTCTGCCTCTGTTCGAAGCCACAAAAACTTCCTCTGTTAATGGTAAGTAATCATCAACCAATAATCAAGCAAATCTGCAGCTTAAGGGCTTGTTTGCAGGCAGGCAGGCAGGCAGGCAATAATCAGGAACAACGTGACGTATATTTTCCCATCTATACATACATGTTCATTAGCTTTATTTATTACAAGGTGCACTGCTTTGCTCCGTGTCGACTTCCTTGGGTGGAGTCGTTTGTCTGATATGATCTTTGTCAGCCGTTTTGCCTGATACGAGCACCCATCACAACAACACAGGCAGCACGCACGCAAGACTGCATATAGGATTAGCCTACCTAGGTAGGCACGCAAGATAAGAAAGAAGTGATCCCCATGGATCTTCTTCATCTTCTGGTCAGCTGGTTCAGAGATCATGGTACTCCTAGTAAACCACAAGCAAGCTAGGATGAACCGCCGCAGTGAAGAAAGCATAAGTGTTGTCGTGCTATAGCAGATGGATCGGTGAGTTAAGCAGAAATCAACGCAGAAGAACAACCAAGATGATAGAAACATAAGACAGGGCTGAACCCAAGTTCAGTGCGAGATCCAGATACCTAATTAGCAAGTCCACTAGTACTGGAAATAGATGATATCTACACGCCAAACACGCCACGACTCAATCTTTTTATTTGACAACTGACTACCGACACGATTGAGAGACCTATGGATCGGACGGGAAGTCGACGGGCGGGCAGGGCCGGACGAGGCATCACCCTAGCCCCCTAGGACTTGCTCTTGCCGGAGGCGGAGGCGGAGGCGCCGGCCCCGGCGCCCTTGTTGGCGACGAGGTCGAGGTCCTCGTCGGTGTAGCCGTCGACGCCCTCCCAGGTGAACTTGCCGCCGCGGCCGCCCTTCTTGGCGTCGCCGCTCATCCCGGTGCCCGACTTGCGGTCGCTGCGCTCCTGCGAAGCCTTGCGCTCCCGGCCGCCCTTCTTCCCGCCGTCCATCGCCGGCCCTGCAACAACAAGGTCAAGATCTAGCTACCTAGCAACGAGAGAAACGGATGGATGGATGGAAACTACTTCTATGCGATGCGCTTCGATTTCCTTCCTTGGTGGGCTTATTTATGGGGGATGAGATCGGGAACCGGGGGCCGGCTGGGTGCTGCTGTTTCGCGACGTGCGTTGGATTGGATGGATGAATCTGCTGGCTGCGGGGCCGGCACGGTCGCGGGGAGGTTAGGATAAGATCGGCGTGAGTCAGCCGGAGGATACTCCACCTCTCGCCATCACGTGGGAAGAGGACACGCACGCACACAGGACGGATCCCAACTCAAAATCTTGAGCTGCAGCCTTTGGCACATGGATGCATTGCCGGGTCACTTGCCATATCGCCATCTCAAAATATCTAAACAATACTACTAGCACATTTCGGTTCAAATAAAATAAAATACTACTACCACATTTGAATGCGTTTTAACATATTTTAACTAGAAGACACAAAAACTTGGTGTGCCTTAGCGCGGGATCCAGCATATTAATTTTTCATATTTCATTGTTTTTGCAAAACAAAAATCATATTTAATTGACTCGCCGTTCACTCTAGTATAAGCCCACAAGTATTCCTAGACGGTTACTTTCTTCTGTAGTTCATTTTCTCTCTTTTTTTTCTCTTTCTTTTTAAAAAACGTGTGAACTTTTTTCAACGTAGAATTTTGGAAAAACTTCCAGATTTTTTCCAACTTCACGAACTTGAATTTCATACTTAATTCAAAGGTTTGTGAACTTTTTTCAATGTAGAATTTGGGAAAAACTTCCAGAATTTTTTCAACTTCATGAACTCGAATTTCATACTTTTTTTTTGCGGGTGAACTTTGTATTACTCAAGTGGTAAAGCCACGGTCCGTATTACAAAGATCAATAACCTCTAACAAGCCAGAGTTAAGCCAAACGACGGTTCTACTCTCAGTTCTAGCAAATTTTGCCGAATAATCACTAACATTATTTTGGCTACGATGAACATGAGGAAAAATAGTTGTACCGAGATTGCTAAGAAGCTTGATTTCCTCCACCAGTGAGGTAAAGACTGATCTATCAATGGCCACATCATTTATCATCCTTACAGCTTGCAAAGAGTCCATCTCCACATGTATAGGCAGATTCGTCCTTTGGATTGCAATTGCAAAAAGTTCAACTTGAATTTCATACTTAATTCAAAAGTTTGTGAACTTTTTCAATGTTCATGAATTTTCTAAAAATAATACATACTTTTCTCGATTTTCTCAAAAATATTTCAAATCTATGAATTTTTTAAAAATTTGAGAACTTTATTTTCAATTTTGTGAACCTTTTCTCCCTTGTTTTGTACTTGGTCTGTAAAGTAATATAAGACATTTTACATCAATAAAGTAGTCATCTGAAAGGTCTGCACCCGGTCAAAAAAATTCATAAAAAATTCCAAAAAAAACATTTGCATGCTAAAAAAATTATGGCATGAGGTACGCTCCAATTTTCATATTATTTGGACATCTAAGTAGCTCTCAATAAAAAAGACAAATCTGGTCAGAACAATGCATAAACAGTAAACTTTTTTTACAGAACCCGAATTTATCTTTTTTGCCAAGAGCTGCTCAGATGTCCAAATGATTTATAAATTGGAGCGGACCTCATGTATCGAGTTATTTATCATACAATGTTTTTTTGGAACTTTTTAAATTTTTCTAGTACTTGTTTTGATTTGTTTTTTAGCGCGGGTGCAGATGAGCCTGGGCTTAGAAGTGGATTTTCGTATGAAAGGTCTTATATTACTTTACGGAGGGAGTACATTAAAAAATCAAATTTCAGAATTTTTATTTCGATAGTCAAAGGCCAAGTCGTCGCCGGTCAATTGGAAAAAACCAAAGAAAAAGGTTCACATTGCGAGGGTGAACAGTAGATGGGCCTGCGCAGCACTGGGGGCGTGAGCGCCAGATCGGTAGCGCTGCATAGGAGCTCTCATTTGTACGTACATGCGGCTAGCCATAAAATCTTGCTTCTCAAAATCTAAATTAAATCTGAATCTGTTTCTATTGCTGAATGATGTAATTTAAAATTGCTAATTAGTTATCCCTAAAGAAAGTTACTAATAAATAGAGAATGTTGCAAAAATACAAAGGTAAACATGGTTTCATGCACACCCACATGAATAGTAAAATATGAAGAAAAAAACCCTATAAAGATTAGAAAAACATGAAATTTTGGGGTATCGAAATTGACCAACCATTCTAGTTTCGTGAAAGAATGACACCCGTGGTACTCTTAGTTAAGACAATAGCACCGAGATCTTACGATTCATTCAAACATTGTTCTTTTGCCCAGGATACCACGGATGCCATTTCTTTGTGGAAGCTCACACATGAGTATATGTATGTATGTATGTATGTTTAAAAAATACTGAAGTTTATTGTTTTCCATTTATTGTTTTTGAATTTTAGTATTCATAAAGGGTCCCGTGGAACCATGTTCAAAAGTCCGTGTGATACATATGAGAAGAGCCCTTTTTCATCGAAGTGCCATGCAATAAAATCATCATACTGCTCACATACGGCAATAGCCAAGACTAGCGGCATCATTGGGAGTAAAGGGCTGACAGAGGCAAACTTGTACGAAGCAGTGAGCCACATTTTTCAATTAAGCTGACAGAGGCGAACTTGTCAATTATTAGTTACGCGGAAATATAAAATTTTGTACATCCCCAGAAAACACATTGTTACTCGACTCTTTCTTCATGAACTATTCATTAGCTAAGTTCTTGCCTCTAAATTGAATCAGTAAATTATCAATTGTAAAGGTATGCAGGACAAGTGGGTGTAAAGAAATTTAAAGCATTGGTTATGAACTACTATCAAGCAGCAACAACCATTTCTAAATACTAATCTTGGTTGCAGTTCCTTCTCACCAAAGTTCTGACCGTGTCAAGTCATGAAGTCTTTATTCGACTCGTGGTATTTCCTTGGACTATTCACTGCATATATGTTATTACAGAACATATATTTCCTTGGACTACTCACTGCATATGCTATTACAGAACATAGATGGTACCCTAATTAAACTATTGTATCAAGCATATACAATTCCTGCTTTCTCCTACTATTCCCATGTATCAACTAAGAACACACATTTTTTTCAGTGACAAAGATATATTCACCTCAACTGTGATCAAAGTCTACACAACAGATGAGTAGTAATGTGCCTCCAACTCCTTAACGGTTGTTGCTGCCCCCTGCCCAATCCTCTGCAGTATTCTATCTGTCCCCCTCTGCCTGCTGATTGAGCACCTCAATCCTCCTATATCAACATTCTCACTCAAAGAAGCAAGCCCAGAAAAGATGGCTGTCCTCTTAAGTTCCGACACCAGTTTCAACAGAGAGTCTGCTGAATGTACCTGGAAACATAAACATCATTTGACAACCAAACAAGACAAAGCCCAGAATAGTTAATACAGTACTAGATTTGATGGTATTCTAAAATTAGACCAAAACACAGTAGGTTGCAGTATACTCCCTCCGTTCCGAATTACTTGTCGCAGGTATGGATGTATCTAGATGTATTTTAGTTCTACATACATTCATTTCTGCGACGAGTAATTTAGAACGGGGGGAGTACAACATCGACATCAGATCAGCTGCTATATAGTCTCTGTAGAGAAAGAAAAAGTGTTTCAACTTGTTCAAGTCACAACACTAATTATGGCAACCAACCTAAGGCAGTCCTCGCTTCTTCTCATCTCCACTGAGGAGTACTACTTACCAACCGTGTGTATGGGAAATTGGGTTTTTTTAAAGTCCAAGACCATGAAATCCATCTACCAGTGCTGGGGTGCGGGTGCTTAGAGTTTAAAATTATATTCCTGAAATCTTACTCTGCCCATCTAGACTTAGTTCCTCAGTACAGCTTACGTGTACCAAACTGATCTTTGTTTTGATCATATCCTTATTGAATCTAGCAGCCACATTTCAGTGTAGGTGTATCATATTCGTACACTTCATACTTATGAGATACAATCTTTCGGACTTCTGTGCTAGAGGATTGCAGGATGCAATACAGGGATATCTTCGGGGTTCTAGAGTCACCTAATTAGGTCACGTGTCACAATTTCGAGCTCCATTAACAGGGTTAGATCTCAGAATCATATTGGTATTATTACGGAAATGGAGCAGTTAATTTAATTCCTATGTTCCCTTCGATTTTGAGCATCAAAATTTCAAACAGTGGGAAGAAACATATCTCCGAACAAATGGTGGGCGAGTGGTGGTTACCACGCGGGAGGCGCGCATGTCCATCTGGAATGGGACGCGGATTTTTCATGCATATGCTTCGGAGCCCTGCTATCTTGGCCGTCCGTCTTTCTAGAGCGTCTCGAGATGCGAGGAGGGCTGTGGGCGCTTACAATCTTCATTAGCAGGTGGGTATGTAATACAGAACGGCTGCTTCGTAGGTCCTCGAGCGGAACAGTAGCCGGCAGTAGCTCTGTGTAGTCTTGTTCTTTTCCTCTCGGCTAGATTCCTACAGATGCCCAACAGCGAAGTGACATATCCCAGACAAGCACGAAAGGCATTCTTGCATGAGGTCTATTACGCAAGGAGGAAGAGCTCATCCGATCCCCACTTTGCATTTTGAAGGAGGAAGTTCCAATGGCGACCGAGGGCATGCTCCATGGCGGAGTGATCCCTTTCTCCTCCAGGTAAGTGGTTATTGTATGCATCACGATTCCACCTGCCAATGCTAGCCACCACAACCCCGTGTTCTAACTTCTAACCATTTTTTTTCATCTTCATCCTCTCCATATGCAGTTCTGGGTCTCCCAGATCATCTTTCCCCTTCCCGGTCCAACATGGAACTGAAAGAAACACTGAGCATCCCGGAGTAGAGAGTGGCGCCCGTGTTCTTCAGTCGTTGGATCAAAACATCCTGGCGCAGCCTACGTGTCCCAGGTATTGAGCTTTTTCAACTAACCTTTCAGATTCAGC